AGTGACCAAAAAACTAAGAAGTCAAAGACATTATCTGCCATTTTGGGACAGTGCGGCCACTTTTTTGTGGGAACGTTGGTTTTTTTTCAATCAATAGTTACAAGGAACACAACTATATGCAGTTTTTTGGAAAGTAAGGAGAGATTACGGTAAAGGAGTTGGATCCATTGTACTCCATACTTTTCAAAACAACTGACTACAGTCTACCGTTGCAGTCAATGGCTCAAGGCAAACCTCCAAATTCTCTAGACTAAGTTCAAAATGGAGTTCAGAATCATTCCATTCAAAACTGAAAGAGCACTATTGTGAAGAAATCAAATAGTGTAAATTTTGAAAGCTTGATAGTTGGGTTTAGAAAAAAATGTTGGATAATTTTAAGGTGTTTAAGATTAAATATAACCATTTTTTAGCTATATCGGTTTAAAATCGATATTTAGCGTAAATCAATAAAAGTTTGAAATTTCAACGGTTTTTGGAGCACAACAGAACGATTTTTTATATTCGCTACATACCTAACAATTTTTAAAAAAGAAATTTGAATTACTCGACCTTTTGCAAGCTAATATGGCTAATTTGACTGGGCTAGATGATATATTGAGGTTCAAATTGTGTATTGAGATGAATGGCAGTAGTCTCAGTATCATTAATCTGATCCACTAAATAGTGTTAAGCCTTTCCTGTTAAGAGTGAGTACGCAGGTTTTTAATGAACTAAGTAAGAACAAAAACTATCTTCATTTTATAATGACATAACAAAAATAGACCAATTATTAACATCACACACTACAGTGAAACACATTCTTATTACAAATATCATATTTTAAAGAATGTACAATATAAATGATTTTTGAAAATATTGTCTTTTACAAATATATTCTATATATACATATTTCTGATATACACTAGAAATAGTTATAACAATGTCTAATTTAAAAAAGACTAGATTTCAATACCAAATTATATGTTTAAAACATAATAATGAACACATAAAATTTAATCAGGTAAATAATTTTTATAAATATAATCTTATTTTGATATACTTATTTAAGAAATTTATTAATTAGACTCAGTTATGAATGAGCAAAATATGAAAAACAATAATACATAACAAAATAAGTACTATTAAAACAATATAGGGTAAGAAAATTATCCTTACCCTAAGATCACATTAAACAGAACTATCTGTTTGATTATTAGTAAGATTCAAAATCTAACAAGAAATACTGAGCCTATTTATTTACAAATAGTTTTAGTTTATCCCTTATTTACAATTTATAGGTGTCACTGTTTAAAACTGTACAATCTTCATTAGGATCTCTATAAATTATCTATACTTCTTAGTGTAAAAAAAATATTTAATCTTATTTACATATAATAATGTAGAGCCTTCTTATAAATATTTAACTTTCTTCCCTTATTTAAATATTATCTACAGATAAAAAAGTTGATTTTTTTACAAATACAGGAACAAGAATGTAATATTTAAATCAAATGCCAACTACTAGTAATGATACTGAAAATAATTAATTTCTAGCACATTTCTTATTATTAGAATGGAACAAATAATACATTTAAAAAGAGAAATGTACAATATAACTTATTTTTACTGCAGGATTTTTTATAAAAATCATGATGGTCTTCAATGCAATGACTGTGATAAAGCAGCCTTCATATCAAAATTGAAAACTAGTTCGTCAGCTATATCTTTATCATGGATTCAAAATTTGTATAAAAACTAAATGCTTAAATTAGGGTTTTAGTAAATTTACTTCAATTAATCAATACAAATATGGTTAAATATAAAAATTTGTTTAATATAACTTAAAAAAAAAACTCCATTTACAAATTAAAAATTCTAAATGATTTGTAAAAAAAATCATTACTTAGAGACATGTAAAGGATCAATATGTTCATCATAATCTTATAATAAGGTATGATCTCATAACTAAAATAAAAACACTGCTAGGTAGTAGAAATATATAAGCCTATTGCAGTAGTGCTAATGACTAGAACTCTAGTTCAATAGATAAAATAGGCTAGAAAAAAAAACATATATATATGTGTGTGTATATATATATATATATATATATACATAAATTGTTTCTGTAGTAATTGTATATATTTTAAAAATTTATATAATTAGGTTTTATTCTAACCTATGAGGATATATGTTTAAAAAGAAATATATAGCAACAAAAAGGAAACAAAACATCGTTCAGACGATATAAGCAAATATTTAAAAATTAATTGTTATACAACTGGTTCACTATGTAAACGTTCAGTTTAATAAAACATTCTCTCAAAGTGACAAGACTTCTTGAAACTAAAATATATGCCTAAAATTTGACAAAATAATTTTTTTAATTTTGATTTTCCGAATTTCTTTTAAATAGAAAGTTTGCGTTAAGTGAAGCACACTAACTTTAATCATTAAAAAATATGATAAGCAGAACATTCATAGAAAGATTGAATTAATGTAGTGTACTAAGTTAAGAAACTGTTCTCATCATAATAAACAATTGCATTTTGTTAACCATTAAATCTGTAGCTGGGAACAAAAAAGGTCAAAGCACAAAACTTTGAAATTTGAGTGAAATGCAGAAAGAAACTAGGGAAGGGTATATATTAAAAGAAGGGTTCAGCTAAATAACAGTCTAAACATCTTTTTTTTTAAATTTACAGTTCAATAAAAGTTGACCTCTTCAAAAAAATAGAACATTTTTTGCTTGAATGTAACACAGATATTCCTTTTAGCTCTTATGGAAGTGGCTCCAAAACATTTGAGTTATCTGCTAAAGTAAATTACCAATGTATTTTTTTTTTTTTTTTTTGAGAAAATTCTCCATTAAGTAAAAAACAGTTAATTTCATCCTCATTTAAATAGGCAAAATCCCAATAGGACAAGAAAATAATGCATAGTACAATTTGAAATGGAGCAGCTGGCTTAGTGAGGTTGGTAACAAATACAATAAATGTAAGTAAACTCAAGGTAACATTGATTATCGTAAAAATTACAGAACTTACAATTACAGCTAATTAAAGTGGTATAGCACCTAATTTGTTGATTTTTAGGTGATTACAATAAGAGATAAAATGTACTGAAAGCTACATAATGTTAATAAATAAATACTCAATTTCGCAAACATAGGTCATTATTCTACCAAACCCATCATTTTTAAAAATGGCCAATGTTCTCCTCTTACTAATCAGTCTCAGTAGCTAACAGTGGAAGCATAATTGCAACCTAGCAATTAATGTACAACCTACCATCATGCAGAATACTCAAACATTTTGGAGTTTTGGGCATTTTCCCTTTTTGTTCTAAGATACAGAAATATCAATTACTCTCCTTAGATTAAGCTAGAGCTTTGTAAAACATTTTATTATGTTTTTAAGCAAAAGGTGTTTGTTATAAAAACAAATTAAAGAAATATTATATACATTTCTTAATCAGATTTTTTAAAGAAATGATTCCTTTCAACAAACCAGAGTTGATAAAATAACAATTTTGCTTTCTTTTCTCTTTTAATTTACCATTAATATAGTTAAATCAAGTTATTTTGTAATAATGTGCAGCAGTCAAGACCAAAGAATGAAATTTATACCACTGTCTATTTATTTAGACTGCTTCTTTTAAGCAGATATCTTAAAACATGTTCGAATAAGTGCATTAAGGCAAAATTAAATATATACCTTATAAAATATAAAATTTGGATAAATTTATACTTTAATGAAAATAATTTTTCTTTAATCATGATGAAAAAATATATTGATTTTTATTTATTAAAGAAACTTATTTTTTGAAAAAACGACTGGGAAAAATGAAACAAGATTTAATCATACTATTAACCATGAATAGAACAGAAATTTGAAAGCTTTGTTCACATAAGTTTTTTTGTTTAACTATCTTATTGCAGTTTACTGAATAAGCATCCGGTCTCTGATAATGACAAGCATAATTAACTTGATATTAATTAAATGCATAATAATGTCACATAAATTAATTGGCAATAGGCAATAGCAGATGTAGTTTCATTTAGGTGAATAAAGGAAAGTAAACCTATGATGCCAAGAAACATTGATTCCATAGATGAGAAATATATTCTAAACAGGGAAGAAATAATGGCCACAGGATAAAAAATAGTAAGGCCAATAAAGTTTGTTTAGAATAAATTACAAGACAATTTAAAGAGATAAAATAAGGCAACTTGTGAATATGCAGAGATCGTTTCCGAGCAATATAGTTTATTGAGAGCGGATGGGTGGAAGTAAGGGGTGATAAATCAATTAACTTTAAATTTCAGATACAACTTGACCAACAAATAGCTTATCATTCATTCTCGAGGGAATAGAAAAGCAGCAATGATGAACCTTAGCAGATTTAAAAATACAAACCTATTCATCGTCAGCTTACCGTCTCGAAAATATTCAACCTAATTCACGATGCTAAACACACACACGAACATGCACGTCAGCTGACAAAATCTGGGCTTAATGACTATGTTTCATTGATTATTATTATAGTAATCTGCAAGCTCCCACAATCATTATAAAATTACTGACATTGCTCTTTTTGAGTAAAGGAACAAATAGATTACTGACCTAACTTTGTTAACAATGGTTTGTGAACCTGTCAGTTTATAACTTCCTCTAGACTCTTTAACCTACGTAACTTTCCTTAGTTCAGTTTTGATTTATTAATTCAAGTTGTATTAAGCAGTGAATAAACATAAACATAATAACAAAATATAAATCTTTTAAAGTCAATAATTACTGATACAAACCAGCTAAACAAATTAGCACTTACAGTATTGAATTTATTTTATAACACTTAAAAACTCTGATAACTCAGCTATTAGGTCAATGAATCCATAAGAGATATGCACAATAAAGTTCTTGGCAAATAGTAGTAGTGGAGGAAATAGATATCACAGAGATAACTAAACGTTTAGGCCCCAGACCATATTACGAAATGAAAATGTGGGCCGGCGAATCTAGGCCTCAGGTTGGTTGATACATATGGATTGGCTGCTGGTATTGAACAAGCATAATCTGTGGCTGACTCGGGGTTGTAGGCAAAAGATCAGGACCAGCAGGAGATCCTTCTGCACCTGTAGCCTCTAGTGAACCATTTGTCTCTTCAATTCCTCCAGTGCCATCATACTTACCTCGCTTGAACCTTCCATATAAAGAGGAATAAGGTAGGTTGAAGTGAATTGCTGCCTGGTTTATACTCATTTGTCCAATTCTGAAAAATTCAAATATATATTATTTGCATCTTATTGATATGTATTGCTATACTCATAACAACTTTATAGCTAATAAAATCTAAGAACTCATAAAACAAATAGAAAATTCTTCAAAAAAAGTAACTTTCCTATGGGTTCCCAGTCATTCTGGTATCTCTGGAAATGAGGAAGTGGACAGAGCAGCAACAGAAGCCCATTCACTGGAAGTAATAACGCCCTCTTATATCTCAACATCAGATTTATTGAAACCAATAAACATAAAGATTTTAAACGAATGGCAACAGAACTGGACCACGTTGGAGAATAATAAACTGAGGATAATCAAACCTCATTTTCAATCAATCAAAGAAGTCAATTGTTGGGCCTCGTCCTCCAGGAAGTGCAGAAGAGAGGAAGTAGTCATCACACGCCTCAGAATTGGACATTGCCGGTTGACCCATGGCTACCTGATGGCAAGGGAAGATCCCCCTCAGTGTCAACTCTGTAAAGTGGATCTCACAGTGAGCCATATCTTTGAGGAGTGTCCTCGCTACAGGAGAGAGATGGAAAGACGTGGTGTACCTCGTCAGCTCTGTGAGGCACTAGCAGATAACGAACAACGTATCGATAGTACCATTGAATTCATTAAGAACATAGAGCTAATTCAACTAATCTGAACTAAATTAATTTTTCTCACAAACTTTGGTATATTGACTTAATTTATTTTTAATTGACTAAATTCTTTTTTTTTTTTCTCCTCGATAATAATTTATGTATATATTTTCTTTATTCCTTTTTAAAACATATTTATTTTTGTTATAGTAGTTTTAAGATTGAAAAATAAATCAATCAGTACTATTTGAGGGCAATGATAACCATCAGCAGTTTTTTGCCCCTAAACCCAAAACAACAAATCTAAGAACAACTCCCCACCATCAAAATCCAAATTAAAAGATCAGATTAAATCTTATCCTCTTGTGTATGTCCCAGTTCACTCCTCAGGTTAACTGGTATAACAATAATAACTCACTAAACTGGCAGATAAGTGGTATGAACCAATATTATGCAGCATCATATAAGTAAAATAAACCTTCCAAAGTTACCACCAGCTTTCAGGATGAAGCCAACCAAAATGGTAATATATATTTATTTTTTATTACTCAATATTTATCTCTGTAATTGATCGAAGGAACATCCTTATAAGCATGTGTCAAAAAAAAAAAAATTAACTATGAACACTATTTTTCCTGTCGTCAAAATTTTGTTTGTAAGGCGATAAAAAAAAAATTTAAACATTTCATAAATGGTTTTTGTTTTTCTCTAATTAATTATCGTTATACATTGTGTGTATATGTGAATATATGTATATATATATTGTAATAATTTTTATTGTTCAAGTAATCACATTTAAAAAAAAAAGAAATGGAGATAGAAATACTGTGTAGAGAACTTGATTCCTACTCTGCCCTCTAAATAGTCATTGTCGGTTCCGGAAAGCTCTAGAGATAACATGTGTATAGTGGTCAGAGAATCATAGACCGGATGAAGAATTTAATTCATATTAGCAGAAAAATAATATTTTTCAACTTTTTTTTCCCCCTAAGCCTGTTGACTTCAACTTTTTAAGTCAAGTGTCTTCTTCAGAAGCTTCGAGATATCCAGGGAGCACGAAACCAAAAGCGATCCCATTTAACTTCCTCTTCATCAGAAACTTTCCTGCAGGATGGTTGGCAATCTTTTACTTCAATCTTCTATCCACTTTTTTATGTGAGAGGGGAACCAGTCCTATATCCAACTCCCAACCTGGAGGACCAGAAATTATGGCATAAGACATAGAGGTGATTCACCTCCCTATGAATCTCAGGAGGGGGATGTTACTATTTCTGTGAGAATAGAACCCGCGCTGTAGTGATCTAAGTAGTCTAATAGGGGGCCAGCACTTTATTATTTTAATTTAGTGTTTGTGATTAATTTCCGTGAACAGGATTTGAACACTTGATATAACATTTTCAACAAATTAAAATCATGATCCTTCTCCAATAGTTCCATCTCTTGATTCCAATCTTTCCTCTCATAGTGTACCGAAGCAGTCTTCATAACTATTTAAACGGAAGTTTATGGTCTTTCAATTAAATCTTATAACTAAACAAAATATATTATGTAATTATTGTAATTAAATGTATACTTAAGCACACAAATCTTTCATCAATGTTGATTTCTGGTGGAGTATGAGGCATCTACAAGGGTGTTCCATACCGCTCTTTGGGTAACAATAATTTTTGCTTCTAGACAAGTCCTGACAACCCCATTCTGGTAATTTTATAAAGATCTGTGCCATGTACCTCTCTCTCTTGGTCTTCTTTTTTTTCTTGTTCCTTGAGGATTTCATTGAAGAGCTTCTTTTTCAATCGCACCATCTGCTTTCCTTAAAGTGTATCCTAACCATTTCCATTTCTTTTTCCTTATTGAGAGGTGGATAGGAAGCCATTTAGCGGTACTTCAAGCCTCTTCTCAATCTCAAAATCTTCTCAGGCCAAGATCCCTAGGATTCCTCACAAGCAATGGTCAATGAAGGTTTAAAGAGTTCAAGTAATGTATCTGTTACCTTCCATGTTTCATTGTCATAGAACAGGACTGATTTTTCACTGTTGTTAAACAACCTTTTGTTTTACTGGACAATTTCTTGTTCTTCCATATCAAATAAAAATGTCCCATTAGCTTTTTTGATCTGCCTTTCAACACCTTCCAACGAATTCCCTTCTTTAGTGATCAAGCTTCCCTAGAAGATGAATGATTCCACCCGCTCTACGAAGAAAACAAATACGATTAATATATTTTTGCATAAATACTTTGGTATTAAGTTTTTTGCCTGACTTCCATCATAACTCTAGGAACTGATTATATTTTTTCTTTAACGGGAAGATGCTGGAAGTAGTTAAAGATTATAACTATCAAGGGACCATTGGAAACAGTTCTGTTATGATTTAGCAAGAAATAAAAAATATTATCTCAAATTCAAATCATGTGTACTACCGGATATATAATAGAATAGCTGGCAACCGTGAGTTGAAGGTACATCTTAATAAATCAACATATAATATGAGGTGATAACTATGGCAGTCAGAGTTAGCACTAAACAGGTATGTCAGCGGAATTACTGCTAAGCTGAAAAAAAAAAGGAGAGACTGACTATGAAATAGAAGAATTAGAGATTGCTTAATATCTCTGTTAATGAAATCCTGGAAAGCAGATAACTGAAATGGTAGGGACTAAGAGAGAAACCTAAGAATAATAACGGTGTTTTATTTGAACCTATGGATAAAATACCAAGTAGCCATTTCAGGATCACTCATAAAAAATTAGCAAGAATTGGAAACTTTCGCTGAAATGAATTATCTAATTTGAATCAAACAATGACATAGCACCACAACATTAAACTATTGATAAAATAACTAAAATTTTAATCCTAAAAAACTTGCTAAGAAGTTAAAATATCAACATTATTTTCAGAGATGTTTCCATGAGCAGCAACGAGAATCATGTCAAGAATGATAAATTAATTTATTTTACATATATTCAAAAGAACCCAGATTAACCTTCAGCATAATATAAAAACTGTTAATGCATTTAAGTTATTAATATTTTACTTATTTAAAAAGAGATAAAAGATTTTTTTATGTAAAACAATATTCAGTAAATATTATTATGAAAGTAATGTTTATAAAAATGATATAAAGTAAATGTTTATAATGAAACAACTGAGAAATATAGGCAAAGCACAAATATACAACATTAAATTAAAATTTACCTAACAGCATCCAATGCCTGGTTCATGGCAGCTTCGGACCAGGGGGTGGGGTTAGCCCTTGAGAGCTCAATACCTTCTCTTTTACACCTACCATATAAGGTACCAGAAGGAATACCATACTCGGCAGCTGCTCTCTGCACCGTTGACTGCCCAGATCTGATAGATTCTAAAGCACGTTCAAGATCTTCAGGTGCCCATGATGTTGGTGCAGCATTGAAAGGCGCAGCTAAACGAATCCCTTCTCTACGTGCTATTTTGTACAGAGTACTACTCGGAATTCCTATGAAAAGTTATAATAATATTGTTAAATAACTAGTTAAATGTTGACACATAATTTGATGGTCATTCTAAGTAATATAATGAGTTAATTATTATTTTAAATCTAGGAAACTATCTTTATATCTTAGAGAAGAATGGCCTCTTTCATCTTCTAATTCAGTTTACAACTAACAATTTTAATTTACGTGAAAAGAAGGCCAATACATACTTAAACTTTATTGATGCTTACATCTTACCCTTCAACAATAAAAAGTTCAAAAAGCTGTGGAATAGGACTCTTAACTATTTTGAAGTTTGAGAGGGAAATGGAGACAATAAGTTGGTTGAACTTCAAAAGAAACAAATGCAATCACAAATAAGACATTATTTTTTACTATCAGTAATCAAAGATTAATTTAAATTAAAAAAAAAATATATGTATATATATATATATATATATATATATATATATACACATAAATTATGCATATAACAGTAAATAATGTAATTTAAAATAATAAAAATTATAGGTTTAAAATAAAATCTGCTTGATCATCTTTGATGGCCTTTAGTAAACAGAATTCATGAATTCAAGATTCATGTGATGTTTCTGGAAAAAAATCTGGAGAATGTTAAGGAATTACAGTACAGGAGAATAAATCCATCCAAGTTTCAATGCTCATAATCAGTGAAAATTACATGGAATCTAAGTAATTGAAGTACTTAGATGGAATTGACAACAGAATAAAGTTTAAATTAATTTTTTTAATACAGACTAAAAACTTATAACTTTATAAAACCATAAAATAAATTTAACCTAAATTCCCACAAGTTCAATGCCTACCACATTTCAATGAATTCTTAACAGCAATAAATGTTACTGTAAAATGGAATTTAATGAAATTTATACGAAACAATTTGTATATTATTCGGTACATTCTCTCCAATTTTGTATCAAATTGAATAAGCCATTTTCAAACTATAGTCCTTGTCAAAAGTCCTTGTCTGTGTCAAAAACAATATGTTTGCATATTCATAAGTGGAAGTATTTTTTTTTTATAAAATTGATACCTAGCTGATCATTTGTTTACCAATCCTTAACTTCCCTCAGACTTTGTGCCAAATGAAACAAATGGTTTTCTAAAACTAGTTGTATCAAGAAAACACGTTTGCCATTATTTATGAGAAAGTACACGTAGCAAATAGAATTCAATAAAATTGATACAGCATCTTTGTTTAACAATAACAATTTCTGAAATATTAGCATCTATAAGAAAATATGTTTGCATGTGTGTAAGCAAAAGTATTTGATGGAATCAGATAAAATTCAAATTGAATATTGTGACTATCTAGGCAGCAACCCGCACTATCCATGAAAATATAAAACGGTAATAGGTGATATGCCCACCACATCGATTTGACTCCAGAAAGACAGACATATATCGAACAAATTTGATCCTTAATGTAACATAAAGCGTGAGTGAAATTTTCAATTCTGAGCACAAACATATTTTTAAACTCCCACACAAATACAAAGTTTCTCAACCTTCGGTGGTGAGAAAGCAAAATAGTTCTTTTCAATTAAATACTTTCTACTATTTTTTGATAATTTTGAATTAATTTATTAGTAATGAATAACAATAACAGTGAAACAAATGCTGGTTGAGGTTTATTCAAAACCTCTCAATATATTCATAATTTTTATAATATCAACTTTAATATAATGAAAACTATTTAAAGAAACTTCTGTACAACAGATGTTTTTACCATTCTTAAAATTTATTACAGCAAGGAAATTCAACGAATACAAGAAAAACAAATGTATAAATATATGTGGATCATGGAATGTTTGGAGCTTATACAGACCAGGAGCCGCCCAAACGGTTAATGAAGTAAAAAGGTACAACATACCATTAACAACCATTCAAGAGGTAAGGTGGCCAGATGGTGGGGAAACCACTATAGAAGGCTACACACTGTTCTACACCGGGAGAAATGACCGTTGTTTATGTAGTTAATCCGGCCGCAAGGAAGTCAGTAATAAATTTCCCCCAGTTAATGAAAGGATAAGTGTGCTGTGCGTAAGAGGTCATTGGTTTAATATCACGATTACTAACGTGTATGCACCAACAGAAGAAAAAGAAGATGAGGTGGAGGACAATTTCTGCAATCAGTTAGAAAAAGTTGTGGACCAAGCTCCAAAATATGACATAAAATTAGTCATGAGAGACTTCAATGCCAAGATAGGTCGAGAAACCCAATTTAAATCCATCATTGGAGGCCAAAGTATCCAGGAAACTATTAATGACAATGGAGTGAGATGTATCAGTCTGGCAGCAGCTAAAGGTCTAGTAGTGAGCAGTACAATGTTCCTGCACAAGAACGTACATAAGTATACCTGGGTAAGTCCTAAAGGAGCAAAAAGCCAAATTGACCATGTGCTGATAGACGAGAGGCATCAAAGCTCCATACAAAACATAAGAAGTTATCTTGGAGCAGACTGTGATTCGGACCATACTCTGATTAGAATCAAACTCTGTCAGAGGCTCAAGTAAATCCACCGAATTGGGGACCAAGTGGAAAGAGAGAGGTACGAAGTCCATAATTTGAAAAACCCTATGGTACAAGCTGAATTTCAAACTGAGCTGAAAAATAAATTCGAACCCTTGAATTCGGAAGGCCTTACGGTTGACCAAGACTGGGAGGCACTAAAGTCAGGGCTAAGACAAACAGCTAAGGAAGTAATAGGGATTCAGGAAAAAAAGAAAAGGCAAAAAATGGTTCACAGAAGAATGCGAAAAGGCAGTGGAGGAAAGAAGAAAAGTCCTCTGCTTAGGACAAACTGATCAAGCAATGCTGGACAAATACACAGCCGCCAAGAAAAAGACAAACAAAATATTAAGAACAGCCAAAAGAGAATTCCTCAAAGAAAGATTACAAACTATTGAGGAAAAATGGCTGACTGAAAGAAAGGGTAGGATATAAAGCGAGAAATACACAAATGCGAGGAAAAGAGGGCAAAGTGACGGCATCAAAAGAAAAGATCATAAGCATCTGGAAGGAACACTTCCAGCAGCTGCTTAATCAAGGGCACTCCACAAACGATGTGGAAATAGCATTCTGGATGTGGAAATCGCTATAGGCAGGCTTAAAAGAAGAAAGGCTCCAGGAATAGACAATCTACCATCACAATTGTTCAAGGATGGGAGAGAAGACCTCAGAGCCAAGCTGTTAGATCTAATCCAAAAGATATGGGAGAAGGACAGGATTCCAGAAGCATGGAACACAGGGTTGATCTGTCATACCCTTGAGAAGGGCACCATGTATGAATGTGGCAATTACAGACGCATAGCACTTCTTCCGGTCGCCTATAAAATAATGACTAATATTCTGCTAAATCGGATATATCCGTATTATGAAAACATAATAGGTGACCATCAAACAGGATTCAGGAGAGGGAGGAGTAAGCTAGATCAGATATTCATCCTGAAACAAGTACTTGAAAAATGATAAGAAGTAGATCAGGACGTACACGCATTATTTGTCGACTTCAAATCAGCCTATGACTCCGTTGACAGAAACTGTCTCTGGAAGGTCATGACTGAGCTGGGTGTTCCCGGGAAATTAGTGAGGTTGACGAAGGCATGTACAAATGATCCTAAATGCAGGGTACTAATACAAGGAAACGTATCTGAAGCCTTTGTAGTTCGAACGGGTTTGCGGACCCATGCGAAGATGGAGGGGTGCACGTTAGAATGAAACATGATGAAGGAATGAAACATGAAAAAAAAATATACATATATGTGTGTGTGTGTGTGTATGTGTGTATAAATGACAATAGTTTAACCTACCATAAGCCTTGCTAGCTTTGTTGGCTGATATTGAGCCAGTTCTGAGAGCATCAAGGGCTACATTCAGGTTATCTTCAGTCCATGTTTTCAAAGGACCATCTTTTTTAGGAGTTTCAATTCCTTGCCTGTGATGTAAAAATTACATTAAATAAAATAAAAATGATAGAATAGCTTCAAAGAGGTTCAATAAACTCATGTAAAAACTGAACTATTGATTTAAAAAAATCATTTTCTTTAATATGTCAATGAATATAATGAAATATAGATACTCTGAATTAAATAAAATAATATAATGTTACTTAAGTTGATAAGTTATATAAGAATTAAATTTATAAAATGAATAGATTCATAGAGAACCAAATAGAGAAATGGACATATCAGAGCAGGCCGCAAAGATTAAAAATAACAACCTCATAATTGTATTTCATTAGTGAACAATTAGTTAATCAGTTAATAATTAATTAAGCTAAAATGAAATTGTAGAGACAGGTAAGTAGTCAACTGATCTATTGATCAATTATCTTATAGTGAAATAAAATTGTCAGGAATTCAGCCAGATTTTCGACCTAAACATGTGGGTCATCCTCAGGGCTATCGTTTTGAAGTTGGGAAAAGAACCACTCCGTTCTTGATTGTTCTTGTCTCAACTTCCAAATGATGTTAGGGTCAAAACATCAGCTAACCTCATAAAAATATCGCCTGAAATTTCTGACAATTTAATTTCATCCTTAAAATTAAATTGGCTGATTTTTTTTCTTGGTAGATTAATAAGGTTCATAAATAAAAACAGCAAACCAAAATCTATGTATGTAATTTATGGTAAAATTTGTTTATTTTATGAAAAGAAGTTAGTCAGGGGAAGAGAGAAAGGTGCTGTCAAAAGTCACACAAATTTTTGGGAATTATATGTATTGTTTGCCTATGTTTTGATCTACATCTTTATCAGGATTGTGGAGTAATGTTGGAGGAAAATAGATAACTGATCTCAGGCGAGATCAGGGTGACTAATTCTCGAGTCTAGCAAATTTATCTAACAAAATTTATTTTGCGATGGATCTACAGAATGAATCTTAACCTTTGCACGCTGGTTAGAATAGGTTAGGTTGTACCTTATATTATGTTTGTGACTTTTGACCATAATCCCTGACTAATTTTCCCTTCAATTAGAACTACAATCATTAAATTTCCATACTATTTTGTCTACTTTAACTTACAATAGTGTAATTATTTATAAAATGCACAGTTTCAGAGTCAGCCGAAAACACTGAAAAAGTGCAAAAGAATTGTTTTTGTTTTTTTTGTGTTTATCTCTGATGCTACAAGAAATTTTGTTTGAAAAATTCAAATTCAGATTCAGCACCCCTAACAACTCATAGAATTCCAGAAAAACTGACAACTTGAAATGTTTTCATAAGCAATTACCATATTAATAATTTAATGATTATGACATCAGTATCCAAAACGCAACTGAGTATTCTCTTTTATGGACATATACTTTAATTTGTATTAAAATTTCAACCATCAGTTTTTTTTTTTTGTTAAATATATTATTTTTTTATTATTTGTGAAATAAAATCTCAAATTTCACCATTTTAATTAAAATTTTTATATATAAAGCAAAGGCTTTCAACTAAGTAACTAAAGTTGTTTGTTAACTAAAATTTAAAATTTTAGAGATGTGCACGTGGTCAACTGATCAATTATGAATACTGTCCAGTTTCCATATGTGGCAACTCCCGTGTATCCCAAAGGCAAGGAAAGAAAGGAATAAATAAATTAAATAAAAAGTCCAAATGTTCTTTTTAAATTATTACCACTCTTTGAATTAAATTCTTTACTCAATTTTAAAAATATGTTTTTTTTTTAAATCCTGCTTATATTAACTGGAAAAAATGGATCCAGATTAGCAGAACTGTACAATGAAAATTAATGTACAAATATCACTGCTATACTTATTTAAATTTTGGACAAAATAAAATCATAATGAAGCATGAAAAATAATCAGGATAAGCAGTCAATAATTGTGTTTATTAAGTTGGTGATGTTTCGACCCAAATATATAGGTCATCATCAGGGCTAAAAATACAAAATAACATCAGAAAAATTATATAGATAAAAGTTTATAAATAAGAAAAAGCAGGGCGACGCATTATCGGCGACACTGTTCAACTTGGCCTTCCATTCGGCAGTTAAAGATGCAATTAAAGCTTGAACATTAACCAATAAAACCTGGCAAATTTGTGGGTATGCAGATGATTTGGTTATTATGGCCAGCACCCAGTACTAAAGGAAGCCTTTGAAATTATTATAAAAAGAGGTAACAGGATTGGGGTCACCCTGAATCAAGAAAAAACAAAGTATATGCTATTAAAACCAGCAAATAACCAAAGAAACAACAAAATCAAAGATTTTTTTCTAAGAAGGAAGACTGATCAAGCCGATTGGTGCCTGCAGACTATCAAAAACTGAGTTATTGAGAGACGAATTATAAGGGGGATATATGGGGCTGTACAGATTGATGGAAAGTGGAGGATCAAGAGCAATACAAAACTGCAGCCATTCTGAATAATCAAGATATAGTTAATTATATAAAAGCAGATAGGCTGTGATAGGTAGGTCATGTTTCCAGAATGAACGAAGAGAGGATTCAGAAGAAGATGCTAGACATGGCAATCATTGAAAAAAAGAGGCAAACCGAGGTGCCGCTGGAAGGATGAGATGGCAAGAGATGCTGTAAAGTTAGGTGTCGTGAATTCGAGGAGTGCAGCCAAGGACGGTGACGGATGGAAGGATATAATCTGGAAAGCCAAGTTTCACAAAGACCTCCAGAGCTAGGGAGTAAGTAAGTAAATGAGAAAAGAAAAAAAAAATAGATGGGCCGTAAACATGAGATAATGATAATATAACATGACAATAATACAAACATAACAATCACTTAGAAAATGTTTGTGTTATAAAAAATAAATATAAAAATTAACTATATAAAGGTATGAGCTGCTAAATTTCTTTCTCTTGTTTTGTTTTTTAAAACTTTATTTATTTAAATGAAAATAACTATTAAAATTATTTGTTTCAGAATTTACTTTATCAAAATGGTGAGGGTGGAAAAAAATATTGCGAGTCTAGAAGAAAATGTTCACACACACTAACTCAATTCACAAATTTTTAATCGTATAAATTAATTTGGAGGGAACACAGAGTGCAAAAATGGTAAGTTCCAAAAGCTACAACTCAAACTTCATATCAATATAAATACAAAGCCCCTTTGATATAAAGGGATGGACTCCCTTGAAAAATAAATAAATATGTTTACCAAAAATTTCCAGCGCTCCCATAACTATGTTCTAGGGATTCTAAAAAGGGTATACAATGCGAATAATTAAATGTAGATTAACCATTTCTGATTACTAAGATTTTACTGTATATGGTTCACATTTATTTAGAGACTGTGATGGTCGGGCATGTTTAAGCATTAACTTTAATATTCTCGAGTGACGAAGGTTCAGATCCTGCCAGGCAGGTTGAAACGAAACTGATTTTGAAGGAAATGATACTCGGCCTTTCCACTCTAGACAGAATAGATTTGGTTGTATACCTCTAGAACAATCCCCTCTTCCTCCCCTGCCCCCATATACCAGAAATGGCAAGATAGGTACAGGAATTTTTCTGAGGGAAAGCTATTTACTTAATTTATTCTTACTCATTATATACTCAATTTTTGTACTTTGTTTCATAAAACAAAAAATATTTACTGCCATGTTCACATTATCATTATCTCATGTTTACATTTCATCTTTTTTTTTTCTTTCTTGTTTACTTACTTTTATCTATGTCATTTTTTTGTTGTTATTTTGTATTGTTTTTAATTTTTAGTGATGATGACCGACCCACATGCTTGGGTCAAAATGATGACAAACTTAATTAACATGATTATGACTGCATATCCTGATTATTTTTCATCCTTACACTTTGGACTGTCAACTATAAATCTACCTTTAAAAAAGTTCATTTCTGATTAATAATAATAAAAATTATAATTCTTCATGAGACATTTAAAGGAATAGTGAAAAAAAAAAAAATTTACCTGTGAGCCCTCTGCCACAAAGTAGTTGATGGTATACTATATATAGCTGAGGCCCTACTTAAAGACATAGACCCCGACCTAAGGGCTTCAAGAGCAGCTTCCATGTCTTCTTGCCTCCAAGATTTACCACCACTGCCTATAGTGTTGTTCGTAGAGCCTTTGGTGATACTGCCTGCATCACTTCCTTCTATAACCAAACAAAGTTTCAGAAGAATTCATAACTGACTAATAGGTTATTAAAATTAACTACAAACTTTGTAATCATCAAGTAAACTAAATCAATAAAGAGTAAATAGAATATACAAAAAATAAATCGAAATAGAAATATCAACTTCCATTCAATATTCACACGTTCACATTTATACCAGACGCATTGTTAAAATTAGAAGATATATTATTATTATTATTAGTGATGATTTGAGTGATATATTGAAATCAGGGAAAGAAAATATAAGGAAAACTATATTATATTTATAAGGAATGTGTAATCATTTACAAATAATTGAACTCATAAGAAAACACTAGACTAATTCCATAAATGAGCTTATTTTCATCAACAAAGCAAAATCTGTTTTAGTAAGAGAGGTTGGTTGGGAACAGAAAAAAATATTATATTTTCTTTGAGCCAGCGTTTTGACTTTCATCAGGGCTAAGCAACGACAATATAACAATGTTATGATAATAATAATGAAAAAGAAATCACAGAAAGAAGATAAAAAGATATTCTCCAATATTACAAAATCTGTTTTCATTAATGAATTCTGCAATATAAATTAGGCATAGATGATAATTGGCTGTGTAATATAATTAAATAATTTTAGTAAGGAATAGATTTTCAAATACTTTATATATGTGTATATATCTTTAAGTTACTATAATTATCTTATAGTAACCTACAACTTTTTAATCCAAAAAATATTCTTCTTCTTCTTCCTCTTATGCCATTAGTTGGCGCCGAGCAGCCTCAATCCAGCGTAACCACTCTTCCTGGTCCCTGCTTAGCCGCTTCATCTCATTGAGGGTTTTGCCTCTTTTACATCCAATTCTTTGAATATACTCCTGGTATGTGATTCTGGGGCGTCTGCATGGTCTCCTTCCTGTGGGTCGAGCCTCTAATATCCTTATAGGATTGAAGTTCTCATTCATGCGGCAGAAACTCTCGGTGGAACCTGTCCACTAGGGGGCGCATCCCCCGGGTGGCGGATGAGGGATCCCTCCTAGGAGGGGTGGTCTGAATATACTGAATAAAGACCCATGGACCAACAGGTACCCAGTACTGGGGGGTATAGCCCGGCCACCCTTCCTCCTGAGGGGATATAAATATTCAGGAGGCCAGTTGTCCCGAGGATACGGGACCTCCAGCACTGGGTTAATCTCCCGTCTGGAGAATCAACGATTCAAAGCAATTTAGCTAGCCTCGGATGCGGACTGTCTTCAAGGAAACGACCTGGGGTGCTAAGAGATATACGAATTGGAATGTGGAACCAAAAAATATTAATTAATTTAAATTACAATTAATTAATAAAAACATTTTCAGGAATGGGACATTTTCATTAAATTAATTTAAAGAGAAACTTTGTCTATTTAATGAGGTACTAAAAACTCATGAACACTTTAGTCTTGAATCGTAAGATAATTTCATCACAAAATCAAGAAAAATTCGGACTACAATACTATCTGACTATTTGGCCTATATAAACTCATTATGTTTACATGTTGGGGATGGAGGTCATGCCAAATGGCTCAATATTTTTTAAGCCAGCTTTCTTCTCAGTTTTGTAATCAAATTATATTACGATTCAAGTGGAACACAAATGGATGGTGCTCATGAGTTTTTAATTCCTCATAAAATAGGCAAAGTTTAGTGATCTCCAGATTAAAAATTTGACTAATCCCATTTCCACAAATTTTCATAAATATAAAAGTTGAATGTTACAATAAGACAGGGGTCTCCAAACTTTTTGAGCCACAGGTCACATTGACACTTCCATAAAGGTCTACAGGCCACATCGAGACCTTCACTAAGACCTGCAGGCTGTGGATTGTGATGAATCAAGATTGTTTTATAAACAACAAGAAAAAATCGTTTTATAAACACGATGGCTACTGAACAGTTAAAGTCAAATTCTCTGATTTTTCCCTGATTAATGATAGTTTTCCTTGACCAATATGTCTGGGGACACGAATATTAAAAATGTATAATTTATAACAACATTTATTTATTATAAATGAAAGATATATTTTCTCTATTATAAAACAAAGTGAACTACGGGGGATTCTAATATTAATATAGTTTATCATAAGTAATTTAGATTCTTTAATACTGTGAACAGTGAGTGTGAATGTGCTCTCTGAACACTATTATAAATGACCTTAATTGTGACAGATTGTAATATCTCTCAATAAATATGTTTAATTAAAAAAAATACTGTGAACGAGGTAATAATTATCCATATGACACCAACTCTGACATTTCTAGTTAATAAATGTTTTTTTTAAAGAGCACCACAGGTCGAAAGAATAAATGCATACCAACGCTAATAAATTGTACCAACCATAGCCCTATGAATTAACTAAAAATATAATGCAAAATAAAATTTAAATAATATATAGTTATCTATCGTTTGCCAATATTAACTGTCACTCCCCACTCTTTTTATATTTATAATTCTGTTTAGTAATGAAATACTGGTAGTGGTATTTGGTGGGAGAATTAGTCCGGCAACTGGGCCCTATTATGGTCCTTTATACCAATCCTTGATGGCTAACTTGAGGTTGCCACCACGTACTTAGCTGAATGGGAATGTCAAAATCCGTTTCCCGGGGTCACTGAGAAATGAAAATTAACTGACTCAGGTGGGAATCAAACCCACAAGTTAAGAACCAGGCACTCTGGGAGCCATGCCCCAACATGCCTCGACCATCCCGTCTTCAGTAATGTAATAAGAATATGGAAGAGTCCAACCTGGTTCAATAAAAAAACTTAAGTATTTCAACAATTTGAAAAAAATGGCAAATCTATTCAAGGCAGCATGCTGAATGTGGTGAATCATTTAAATCACAAAAAAACGACGATCTACCAAAAACAAAATCGGTTGTTCGCAATATTTCGCTATGAGGGTTAAGGCAAATTTTACTTGAAAAGACTAACAAATATTTAAAAACGATTCGCGATTCATTTGATGAACCTCAAACTAATATTTTATGAGGATGGATACAAAGATTCTGCTCCCGACACAATACTTTTATTTAAAAAATCAACTGTGAAGCTAACAATGTTCTCTTTCAGTTAACCAACCAATGGAATTAAGTTTAGGCGACAGTTGGTGATAATTATCCTGATACTGATATATTCAACGCGGTGAAACGAGATTTTTTTAGTATTTGTGGAATTGGATCTACATTTTAAGATAAAAAAATGTTTTAATGGACACTTATCTATAGACAGGATTATGTTGAGAAGTTTATAAAAAAAAAAAATATATATATATATATATATATATATATATATATACACCCACAGATGTATACATTACAAATAGTAAATATTATTGGTATGTTTTTCTTTTCAAATTATCTCTGTTTTAAGGCACTTTTGCTTAAATGTTAATCATTACCCTTGCTTTATTTCAATATAATCAGTGCCGTTTATTGACAGTCAAAGGTGGATGAGTATAGCAACTGTGGACGTTTATAAGGATTAAATTTACCCCTCCAAGCTCAGTAAAAACGATATCCACTGTATATTTACTTCTAATTTGAAAAAAATATTTACCCCTGTTTTTTCCAAGTCGGTCACCACTCTGATAAATAACACCTCAGTTGTGAGGTAAGTTGCGAGCTTTCTTGAAATAAGCTTTTCAAGAAAATTAATATATGCAATAAATGTTGAAGAAGTAAGCTCGTGTTTGAGTAATTTATAGCTAAATTTCACATTTTTAAATAGTTTTTAAAATTTTACAATTACCATTACCAAATATCAAAGAAACTTTCGTGGACTAAACTGATGTCGCTGTCGGGCGTGGGATAGGACTGATAGGCTCAATGCGGCCCTTGTTTGGATATCTCTGTGATAAAACGAAGCCATTCACGTAGTTTTAGACAGATAATAATAATTTGATAAAAAGGGGTCTATTATGCCGACTATATGTTTATATTTGAATAATCTTTGAAATTTTATTTAAATTCTTTTACTAGTGTAAAAAGAAAATACATCTTACAAAAATGATAAACTACAAACTAAACAAAATGACAAAGGTTTTGATTCATATCCTAGACCTCAATAATGCTTTTAAATTTAATCTAAATTGAACCATCACATCACATTGCATCGACCATTAGATCTCATTTTTTGCTAATGGATGTCCTGGATATTGGGGTACTTGAGACGTATGTGATGTGATGAAAATTATAAGAGGGAAAATTGTTGGGGAAAGGAAGCATTGTTATGTTAATTGAGGCATAAACCAAGAAATATTTACCAATTTGCAGTATGATCATACTGCAATTATTGATATCAAAGCTAAATTAAGGTAGAATTTTGTTGGTACTGCCAACCTTAGCAGGTAGTAGTTGAATAAAATTATTTGATGAAATAGAATGGAACATATGATATCTTTAAAGCTCTTGGCAGTATGGCAGTTTCAGATTACGTTATCATATAGAAGATGTTTTATTTTAACTGTCACTTTTCAATGTTCTATTTCCTTTTTTTGTTATACCAAGTCAGACAAGATTAAATGAAAAAATGTTTAAACTTTAAACAAAACTAAACCAAGTCATTTTTGTAGTATTTAAATAACAAGATTATTTATAAAAATTTAGATCTAATTCCAACAAATTTCTTTAAGGAATCAAATATACCTAAATCCAATAACCCTTTAAGAGATTAATAATGGAAAAAATTTAATTTCAAATAAATACTCAAATCCAAACAGTAAAATAGATTTGTCTTTTTAATTGTAAGTGCTGATTGATTAACTAATCACCAAATGATAAAACATTATCTGTTGTGATTTCACTATAAATAAACCATATTTATTACTAAAATGTTTATAAGAATAATGAGCAATAAATTTAAAATCAGAGATACACCTCAAGTTCTTAAGACAACATTTCATCATATTCTTTCTATCACAAGGTTGATATTTACTATTCCAAATATAAAAAGAAACCATCAATATATAGAAGGGGGTCATGTAGTTTATAGGTACGTAATGGTTAACATTTTATAGTGCAGACATAATCCAGTCTAATTATTCAACATGAAATACCAGGTAAAATGGCATGTATTAATTAAAAAAGATCAAAACTCTACCATTGTATGTATTTCTGCTCTAACGATACAAATGAAAATAATTAAATTTTCATTTTAAAATATCCTAAACTAGGATAAGGCAACTAAGGCACTACCATGGCATTACCATCCACCATGGTGAGCAGTACCAGCAAAATTTTATTAACTTTAAAACATGATCTTCTCAGCAGGATGCAGTATTGGCAAGCAAGACTCATTTAATGTACCATAAATATCACCACTAGATATATTTAACTTTAACTACATATATTTATATTTTACCGCATGCATATAATTAAATTATATAGGTTACATCAAATGATCCATGGATGCCTGTGCGGTATCCTGTTGAGAAGATCTTGATGTCATAAGATGCCAACTACAACAATTAAATTTTACAAAGCAATGAGTTCATTTTTGCAATAAAATTTAGGAATGTATTTCTAATAATAAAACAACAAATTTGATCCATAAGTCTTACTTTATTTTTTCTTTCACCAAAGTTTCAACTCTTTATAACATTTTTATGGGGGGAAAAAACCTTATTTTAAAATTAAAAACCTCTCCTCATAAGATTATGAATTGATTAATTTTAAATCATTTTCACTAATACATTAATTTACTTAAACAGATAAATAAATGATAAATGCTTATTCATCAACAAATAATATATACCATTGTTTTGAATTCATATTCAACTTTTTCTGAGTCCAATTCAATTTTCTATTAATTTTAAGTTTTCGATATAAGGGTTAACAAACTCTTATATTGAAAAAGTATGATAAATTAAAATAAATAGAAAATTGAATTGGAGTCAGAAAAATTTGATTATCACTTAAAAAAAAATTGAATTTGTCTAGGAAATAGTTGATTTGACTAGGAGAAAGTTTAATATTACTTGGAAAGGCTATAATTGCTTGAAAAATAGGGGAGAAAGGAATTTTTATTGCAGAAAGAAAACATCACTTTGGACTAATAATAGTAAGGTAATAATTCTATCTTACTACTCCAAGATGAAAATAAGTTTAAAATTAAATTAAAATCTCCTCCTCCCCTACTGATAGATATAGAAAAAAATGTGTATAGTAAAAAAATATAGAATTAAAATAAGCCTAGCCTATTAAAATTAAATTGAAATCCTCCCCTCCCAATTTATAGATACGGAGAAAATTTATATAATAATAAAAACATAATTAAAATAAGGCTATTTCAATTAAATTTAAATACCTACTGATAGTAGTATAATATGTATGGAAAAATACAAATAATAAAATGAAAGGATACAGAGAAAATTTTGATTGTGAAAATTCACAGCATCATAATTATAGTTATTTGTCGCTAATAATCTGTTTATCAGATCGGAGAGTGATTGTCAGACCAAAATTCTACAAATTATATTAATTTAAATATTTCAATTATCGACTATGATTATTATTACTGACCATTCTTAACAGTAATAAATTTAAAATATATCAGGACCTTGGATAAGTTCTCTGTTTCTTATTTTTTTAAATTAGTGCTTCATTTGAAGTAAGTACTAACAACCATCTCACTCAAAGTATTTCCAATAACTAGACTCTATGTCCTCCCTCCCATCTTTCTAGCAACATCTGAATTAAACGTCAGAAAAACAACTCATCTTTTAAGGCTATCCTAGAATCTACCCATTTTTTTTTCTCAATCTTCATAAGAATTTAAATGCTGCTCAGTCAAACCATGTGCCACCGAATGAAATAAGTGAATACGGGGAAACAATGGAATTCAGCTTTGCAGAAGATGTTGATGAATGATGGCCCGGGTTACCTCACAATTTTTTAAGCTTAGGATATTTGTACTGTAGAGATTTTTCATCATCAGACATAATATGATGCAAAAAAATAAAGCATTTGCTTACAATTTCTAATCATATGGAACCCAATGACCTTGCTTCTGGAAATGCTATCATTCTTACAAATGCTTTTAAACACTTCAAAACCATTGTGTTGTAAGTCATATAATAGCAATGATTTTCCAAGTTCAGTCTGCGTACAATATGGGTCTTCATTAAGTAATTTCTCTAATTCTTTGTCTTCAAGCTTTTTTAGTGTGCCAGATTGTTGTTTGACTCCAAAATTAAAATCATTACACTTGAAATACCAAAACCTGTATCTGCATGTTTTTAAAAGAGCATGCTTACTGTAAGTCTCAATAAGAATTCTGTGTGCTTCAGCTGCAGATTTCTTTTCAATAAAATTCCCAGCAAATACGAAAAACAACATTTTAGATCAACAAAAAAAAAGGAAATAGTGTGGTGGACTAACATATACTGAAGTCCAAGCTTACTGACAGTTCTTGGAATATTGTGTAACCGTCTGAAATGAAACACATAAAGACCTGCTGCTACTACCATCTGTTAGGAAACTCTTGGTTTTATTTCTAAGAAGTAGTGAAACTTTCAGCAAATTAATGACAGTCATTTCGCTAATTTGGTTCACGCCATATACACGAATCTGGTGTTAATCTTAATCACTTGAAGAACCAATCAGACCAGGGGTCCCCAAAAGTTTTGGTCTGAGAACTTCGGTAAAAGTTCCGCAAGCCGCATTGAAACCTCCACCCATGTCCCGTGGGCCATTGCTCATGATGAAAAAAAAAATTTTGTTCTATAAATCACAATTCAGCTCTGAAATGAGCTTTCTAAGAGAGGAAAAAATATGAAATAAATGTTGCAGTGACCTCATGTGTGAGTAATTTGCTAGATTTCATATTTTTAAATTTTACCATGTGATGAAAAAAACTTTCGCAGACCGGATTGAAAGTTATTGCGGGCTGGATCCGACCTGGGGGCTGTTATTTGGAGACCCCTGAATTAGACTGATTTAATCTAACATGATATTTAGATGTATAATTGAGTAAAATTTCACCCCTAAAATGCTCGGCAATTTACTAGCTAACAACAGTTAATGGATCAACCAACTCCCTCTACATTTTTTTTATTTTTATTATTTTTTTTTTTTGTGCTTCCCTACTTCGCCGTTTAGGCTATACGGGATTTCCCTGGGCCGGATGGTGAGGGCGGGGAATTTAAAATCCTCTCTGGCACCGGGACGCAAACTCGTACTTATTTTTGTCTCTCAAAACTTCATATATCTGGTTGCCGGGCAACTCCCGATGCTGTGCACATGCTTTAGCCCATTCGGCCACCCCGCCCCCTAACTCCCTCTACTTTGAGGCAAATCCAGGTATTTTTGAGTGCTCTAGGTGATCTTGAAACCAACTGTCATTTTGGAGTAGCAAAATTGAAACTAGTAACCTTAAATAATATAAAAGAAATATTTTTACCAGACTGCGAGGAAGGGATGAGGCCAAGCAATTCAGGTGTTATCATCATGGTATGCATGCCCTCTTCTCCAACTGTTTGAACTCCCTGAAATATCACAAGTTAGCCTTAATATTTGATAATAAAATATAAAAATAACCATTGTTTAGAAAGTTTTGTTATTACTTTATCCTATTACCATTAGATACCACCACTTCTTTAATTCTTCTTCCATTAATCTAACACCTTGTTGCAGGAAGGAATAACACTCTATAGTCTGGTCCATGAATGATTATAGAAGGAAATGGCGACAACACATTGATTTTGGGACATTGTTTGGACTAGTAAGGAGGTAAACATACTAAAAGTCCCCACTCCTAGGTGGTGAGCCAGATGTGGGAGGGCCTCTAGTAGGTCACTTTTTTCAGGTTTTTACTTATATCAAGAAAACTATCCATCGCATCGACAAAGACATTCTAAACAAATTTAAAGCTGTTAAAATTTTCAATATGATTGATTATATACCTTTTTTCACTTAGTTTCCGAGATAGCCGTCCTCAGATATCGCTAATGTGGAAAAAAAAATGTTTACCTCATGTTTTTTACTGTATTTAACGAGCTAACTTTTGATTGCTTCATTTTACAATTAAGTCATGGGGAAAAAAGTTTTTAATAATTAAATTTTCTTGAAGAATATATATTATTTTACTAGTTTATCTTCAAACGGTTCAAAAGTTTGATCAGCTATAAGTTTATATTTCGATTCCACGAATTTGCATAAAAAAATAATTTTTATAATAAACTGTTATTGTATGTATGTATATGTATCTATTTATATACATAGACATTTAGATATAAAGAGAGTTAGAGCAATATAACAATAAGGAATATTATAAAAATTATTTTATTCTGCAAATTCTCAGAATCGACATATAAAGTTATATCTGATCTAACTTTTGAACCATTGGAGATAAACTTGTAAAATAGCATATATTCTTCAAGAAAATTTAATTATTAAAAACTTTCATCCCCATGACTTAATCGTAAAATGAAGCAATCAAAAGTTAGCTAGTTAAATACAGTAAAAAAACATGAGGTAAACAAATTTTTTTTCCACATAAATGGTAGCTGAGGATGTATATCTCGGAAACTAAGCGAGATAGCGAAAAAAGGTATATAATCAATCATATTGCAAATTTTAACAGCTTTAATTTTGTACCGTTCGAGTTTGTTAATGTGTTGTATATTCTACATGATATAAGTGAAAACTCAAAAAACAGCATTAAACATGAGGCAGAATTTTGTTTTTCAAAATTAGCCGTAGTTGACGACGGACATCTCGGAAACTGAGCGAGATTGAGAAAAAAGTTATATATATAATCAATCATATTGCAAATTTTATGAGCTTTAATTTAGTATAGAATGTCTTTGTCGATGCAATAGATAGTTTTCCTGATATAATTGAAAAACCGAAAAAAGTGAACTACTAGGCGTCTTCCCACATCTAGCTCACCACCTAGGAGCGGGGACTTTTAGTATGTTTACCTCCTTACTAAGCCAAGCAATGTCCCAAAGTCAAAATTGTAAGGCCGCCATTTCCTTCTATACTCTCTTTTCAAGCATTCATTGACTGGACTAATATAGAATAATAAAAGTTGTTTATTATCATGAACAGACAATGTTGAATTTCAATGAAAAATGAAACTATACAATTAAAAATAAATGTAAAACAATAACATTTTATAAAGTTTAATTGTTGTTATAATTTTAAAAATTTTAAAATAAACAAAATATCTTTAACAAAAATTCAAATCAATATTATATGACCTATATAATATTCACAATATTGACAAACAATCTTTACAAAAACAAACAAATGAATCCAATATTTACAAATAACATAAAATATTTAAAAAATAAACAAGATATGATTTATTAAACATTAGGATACAGTGATTTCACAAACCATTTTTAAGTTATACATCTTCAATAATTATCACAAAATATATTTGGTTGGGGTTTATATATCATTTTTCATAAAGTTTGTTCTCAGAAACTACAGAATGGTGGTGGGGGTGGTGGTAGCTAGTAACATCAGAATAATCTAGTGTGACCTTAATTGGCATCAATTTAAACGAATAGAACCACAATATCTTAATGATAGTATTTCAAGTAAATCAATATTAATATTTCATCATATCATGTATAACTACTAATCATTATCATAATTTATGATACTACAAATCTTCAAGAATCAAAGCTTCTAAAAGTAAGGTCTAATTATTGCTGATACCTCATGAATCTATCAGAGCCAAGATCTTCCCACTTTTCTCGTACCAAAAACCCTTTTATCAAGAATTCCTCTGGTCTGAGATCATTTAAACTATATACTCTACCAATCGATGAGGGCCTACTTTTATTGTCTTTACATCTATAGGGCTTTCCTTGTTTCTAATATGTTTTTTTAGTCAAAAATAACATTTAATTGCAATAATGATTCTCTAAGAATCTTAGTTTACACCTCATTATTTCAGTTTAAGAAATAAATTTAAGAATAACTTACCAAAATAAACAAACTATCCTTATCAAAAGAGTAACTTCTGGTCATAACTACCAATACTAGATTGCTTATTTATAATGGATTGATAATATACTTAAACTAACTTACACGATCAGGCATATGTTCCATATCCATGTGCTCTGTCTGATCAATAGCCCTAAGTGTTTCAAATTTAACTTTCACATTATCATCCTCTTCAACTTCCACTCCAGCTGCAAGATCACTAGCATCAACTGGAAATAAAAATTATTGGTATTCTAAAAAGAAAATAACTGCTTCTCTCTTAAATACTATTAACAAATTAATTCAAGTATATTGAACTAACTTTTCAAATGTAAGTTCAAGACAAGTCAAAAGTAGTGGAGTCCCATAGAAATCTGAAAATATAAATTGGAATTGGGGGAAAGCTACTTTCAACAGAGCATAATAGATCATAAGTAAATATAAAGATCTAAACAATAAAATTTAAATTTTTGAAACAAAAAAAGTTATAATGTTCCATTTTAATGGTCTAAAAGGATCATTGTATGTCCATTTTTAATTTGTTCTATGTGAAGCATTGATTTGAAGGTGGTGTTCTTTCCTATTGCATTAACATTGTGCGTTATTTTTGGGCAATTGAATAACTGCACTAATATGAATCTCTCAATAGTATCAAAATAATGTATCAGAAATGTTTCTATACCACTATAATAAACCATTTCTGAGGAGTCAATGATGTTGCAAAAAACTAAAGGGTTACCCCTATATCATTTTTTCACAGATTATGTAGAAAATAACGTGTTTCTTAAAAGTTGTGGGTAAGTAAAATATAACAATTACAATAACAATATGAATGCTCTAAACAGAGAGGTATTGGGTATCTGTATAGGGAGGGGGATTGAGAAAGATCAAGAGCTCCTGACTGTTTCTTAGGTTTTACTTCCTCCTTTAGTTAATAATCAATTTTTTTTTTATTATATTTAACAATTTAAATATTATACATATTTTTATTACTAGTTATAATGTGAAATGTTTATTTTTTTTTTAATCAACAAAATTAAAGGTACTTTAGAGGAAAAAATTAGAAAAATCAGCATGTATATCCTGTCACACTTTTCAATGACCAAAATAAGTGCCTCATATTAAAAACTAATTGATTTTACATTGATATAACGAGTTTTAACAAAATCATTAGTCGTTTAAAAGAAAATTGCAAAAGTGTGTGCCACTTAGTCAACTTTGATGAAAAAGTAGCTGTAACACCCCAGGCTTATACATAGTTTTTTTTTTCACTTTTATTTTTCAATCCACACTTGTTAATTGGCATAAATGGGTTTTATCATTTTCTCTATAAAAATCTTGAAGCTGCAATGTTCGAACCACTTGAAAAAACACTATGCATTAGCTTAAGCAGGATTTAATTTATTTAGAAAACGATTCAGGATCATGGAAATAGGTGAGTAACTTGCTGTTATGCTAATGAGAGAACATGGTGGTAAACTAAGGATGGAAAAGTAAGCAGGGCACTGGATTCAAATAGTAGTTGTTTTTTTAATTTGCTATTGAATTTAATCTATTTAGTTGTATGTGTCTTTAACACAAACATGAATATCATTAAATCTACAAACTTGGGAGATGCTGCTTGGGGAGTGGGAGATGTGGTGTTGAAAAATAACAGTGTAAATTTATTATAGTCAGTATACTTTGATGTCTGACAAAATAATTTATAGAGTTAAAACAATTTAATTCTTTATAGATCGGTAATTTTTCCCCCCTGTTCCCCTTTCCTGGCCATTTATGTTATACAAGAGGAGGAGCAGTTCAACACAACCTTTTCTAACCAGAGGGGGAAGGTCGAGATTCTTTCCATGGGTCTGCAACAAAATAAATTCCAACCAGCTCAGACCAGATTCGAACCATGATACTCGAGAGCAATGAGAGGGTAATGCTTTATCATGCAAGGCGTCAAATGCTGTTGGCCATCTTATCTTTTGAATACCAATCACACAGTACAATTACTAAAGTAAATCTATTACCTCTGCTTATAAAACATGAACTTATTTTCCTTGCCACACCTTTGTTATAACTGCTTGTCCATTCTGGCCAAATGTTGTAAGAAGGTTGGGTAATAGTGAACAAATGGTCCATTATCAATTTCCATATATAGGTACTTATAATTTCATATATAATAATTATGTAACTCCTTTACTAAAACTACAGTTCTTGGCAATTCAATAACATCTTTTTTCATACATATTTGAAAATTAATATCTTGAAAACTAATTAACTTATCAAATTAAAATTTTTCATGGTCACTAAGATTGACAAGAACCATAAGTTTCATTTTAATTGGCTAGATGATTTGAAATGGAATATTTGATTGGGTCGTGAAGTAATACTCTCTTAGTGCAATCATCTCTAGGAATAGAAATAGCGAAATTCGTTCTATTAAATGAGGCATCGACAAATAAAGATGGAGAACTACATTATTTTTTTTTTATATGGCCATTTTTTAAGAGTTTGGTAAAATGTACAGTATTTTAGAAAAAACCTCGTCCACTTTTGACATACACCTTTCACGGCTTTAGTAGAAATCAGTCTTTATGCATTTTCTCATCCTGAAATCTCAATCAATAAAATCAAAAGCAGATAGCTGTACATGTTTTATTATCATGAGAATATAATGTTTTAAATTTTGAATAAAATTCAACAATTCAAGTCAATACTACTGGGATAAAAGTATGAACATTGTAAGGAATGAAAAGAAAACTGATGGGATAATTGATTAAATGTATAGATTTATATTAATTACAAAATATTTTTACAAAACGGACAGCATATATTTTCTTTCTAATCAATTTTCTGCACAGATAAAAAATTTTTATTAAAAAATTGTTAATTTTGTTGTCTTTTGTTATATTTTTACCTTATTGACTCCTGAATAATATTATTTCAAATATTGTACAGATTTTGCCTCTGTTCAGAATTGTGGTTTAAATTATTATTATCATTATTTATTTATCATTTTTTTCAAATTACTTACTCCTCCCAGGTAGGTGGAAGGATATTTAAAGGAAAAGTGTCGCCATTCTCCAAAATTTTTAAACCAAAAAATAAAAAAAAAAGTCTGCCAAGTAAGGTCAGTATAGCTTCCTCACCATTTTCATTGGCTAAAAAATAACTATATTACAAGGGCTGATATTTTTCATATGAGAATAAAATCTCAAGAAGCCATTTTCGGTAATTCAGTAATCCTTCAACATATATGGGCTTGATATGCACGAGTTTTGTTTATCAGGAAGTACTAAAATGCAAAAAAGTTCTGCATTTACGGATTGCATATTTGATAATTCGTAATTAAAAAAAAAAAAAAAATTCAGTGCATATTGAATAAGTATCTCGCTACTGTTAGTGCAAATGATATATATAAAAATTGAGTGTTTTACAAGAGAGCATAAAAACTGATTATTGATCTATGATTTATTAGTTTAATTTTATAATCTCTGCTATTTTTCAAAGTAGTACACTACTTATACTAATTGCAGGCTACATAATATAAAAAATAGAATAAGAATTGATAACTTTTACATACATCCTTTGCAGTAACAGTAGTGATAAATACTTAATAGGTATGTTTTCACTTGTAAAATGGATAGAACAAAAATTCCATAGGAAAAATTCAAGTTTTTGCTTGTTCAGAGTTAACGAGACCAATATTTTTCTTGAGTTAGAACAAAACTAATTAAGCTAGTATATAAAAATATGAGTGAAGTTGACACAATTTTGGTATTCAAGGAGAAAATCGAGACCACGAACTGATTGAACTTGAATGGAAATAAACACAATCAAAAATCAGACTTTTTTTTTACAAATTCAGAGTAAAAATTATTTTGAATTTACTGAAAATTACACGAAATCTATGTAACGGCAATAAGTGTCATGCCAGTAACATTTGGAATTGACTAAACAATACAGTATAAATCAACTTTTTGAATAAAACCTATAATTTTAAAATCCCATAACAATATTGCAATAACCCAACTCCCACTACATATGATCAGTGCCTTCCACATTTCACAGCCATTATATTGTTAAGAAGTATTTATATTAACTTTAATTATTGAATATAATTCAATGAAATTTATACTAAGTAATTTCCATACTATTCTCCAAATTTCTTCCAAGTTGTTTGGGGTCAAATAGAATACGCCGTTTTCAAACTATAGGCATACCAAATAACACATTTCCTGATCTGAAAGCGGAAGTTTTTTTTTAGTATTAGATAGAATTTTATAAAATTGAGGCCTATTTCATTTTACGTTTACCAATCTCTAAATTTCCTCCAAGTTTGAGCCAAATCAAAATTGCGGTTTAAGAGATGATATAGACGTATCAAGGAAAACACGTTTGCGCATATACATGAGAAAGCAATGGACAGAATTCAATCAAATTGACCCTACATTATTTTTTCACAAATATCTATCTTTTATCCAAATTGAACGAGCCGTTTCTGAAATATTGGCATATTCACAAAAATGCGTTTGTGGGTGCATAAGCGGAAGTGCTGGGTAGAATTTAATAAAATTGATATGGAACCATCGAGACACCAACCTGCACAATCCCTGAAAATTTCATGTAAATCGGATAAACGGTAGTAGGTGATATGTCCGTTACATTGATTTGACTACAGACAGACAGACACTGAACCAAATTTGATCCTTGATGTCTGAAATGTAATACGTGAGTGAAAATTTTCAATTCTGAGCACAAAATTTTTTTTAACCTCTTCCACGAATACAATGCTTCCCTATGTAGTGAGGAAACAATAAATTTTAGTTCAATTTTAAACTGTGAAAATTAAGCTAAAATATTTTATTAAAAGAGTTACTAAAATTACAAAAAATGTCAATACCTCTTAGGTTAAGAAATTAAAAATTATGTTTATTAAATTTAACATTTTTTTCCACCTTGGCACCACTATGTCAGAACTTTATTTCTATCAATAGCAAGAATTTAGTATTTCTTTCTTTTAGGAATATGAAGATGACTCTTTTTGTATTTTGGTTAGTAGATGCTACAAATACCAAAATACTGCTTATACTCATTAGCTATTTCTTACTTGACTATTAAAAGTAAAAATAATGTGTCTTAAGTCTTAATTTAAAAGTATTTCAAGGAAAACATTAATTTTCCATCCCCTTTCATGGTCTACGGTGAATATAAAATATATTATTAAATATCACAAATACAAAATCATTAAATCTTCTTTACCTGCAATGTCCCTATGTGTTGTTCCTTGTGGAATATCTACAGCAGAAACAATAGCAACAGATGCTGTTGATTCATTCGGCTCATTTTCATCTTCTGTTACCACCACCTAAACCAATGTAATCTGTAATGATCACAGTTATAAAAAGGCTATTGCATTTTTCACAATCGAATTGAGAAACCTCAAGAACTTTTATAAAGATTAATAACAAACAACTATTATTATATGACAGCAGGGTGAACAATTATACAAATCATCAAATAGTTCAAACAATGTTGTGTAAATCAAAGTGATATCCAATCCATCAGATAATCTCATTACTGTTATTTGCATATGAATATTAGATACCCAATTAAATCAGAATTAAGAAGTTATAAGTTATATAGAAAGGGATGGGATAACTATTTACTAAAAGAGGATATAAATACTTAAATAACAAATCATGGAGTTTGAGGTCTTAGAGGTCTTAAAAAATAAATGCAATATTGATACTCATGTTAGAAAATAAAATATCAAACAACAAATGTGTACATTTAAATCAGGTTTTTCCCTTGATGTTGATATTGGATATTTTTTTTTCTTAATGTCTTCTGAACAAGTTGTTAATACAGACTAAATAAATTGTAGACTTTATTACAACTTATTTTCTGAATAGAATATAACTTAAAAACATTGTTTACTCAATGAACATATTCAATAAAAGAGACAGACATTTGATATCTTTCTACTCAAATTATGAAATTAATTATTCCAATATATACTAAAAGATGAATTTATTAATGATAAGGCATAAATCACTCAAGTTAACCTGAAGAATATCTTGAGTGAAACAGAATTAACATTAAACAAATATATTGTAAAAATAAAAATATGTCGTTCTTTTTTCTGTCAGACTAACTCATGCATAAAACAAGAATAGATCCTCCTTCCTTCCTTCCTTACCAAATGTGGATACAATCCGAAAATTCATTTTTGTGGACATTCTCCTCTTGCTGGTTTCCCAGAGAATGGGTAGTTTTCTTCTTATTTCTGATGGTAGTATCTCCTGCATGTTCTATTCTAATCCATATGAAGTTTCAAAACTTTCTTGTTATGCCAAATTAATAATGTAATTGTTGTATTGTAAATGTGTTTAGTTTTTGTTACATTCAGTACTGGCTTGGCTGCATTGCATAGCAACAGATTGAGGGATCTATTATTATGTAATCAGTTATGCTTACTTAGTGCATACTCTACTATCAGAACTTGTCTGAGTTAGAAGAGAGACAGTGGGCGCTTTTTTAAAAATCAAATTCGCCAAATAACAGTGAGTTGTGGTAGACATGGTCTCGCTAACTTTAAAACCACTTTTGAGAGTTACAGCGACATCAAAAACTTAACAATAGCCTACAATACTTTTGCAACAAGAACTGTATATTGTGCCACTGGTCTATCGGAATAGCATTTCATTTCTTCAATACCTTTTCTTATAATCTCTGACTTCCCAACTTTTCATAACCTATTATTGTAATTGTATCACCTCTAATATAAATTGTCTCTAACTTTTTAATTTTATATTCATTATTTCCTTCACATACATTGCAATTTCAGTAATCCGAACTTTGTTAGTCAGAACACTGCAATCGTCCAAATAAACAAAAGACAATAAGGCTATAAGATGCTGTATCTAGTTTCAATTACTGTAACAGAAATAAGGATCATCTGATATAGACATTTTTACCGATACTGATATTTCATTACAAAGGCTGATATTTATTTATTGGTATAGACTTATTGGCCTTACATTTCTTTCCATCTAGGTTTGTGTGATTTTGCTCCTTAATCATCTAGTCTAGTCAATCAACCATCTAGAGATTGACTGATATTCAAATTTTTGTCAATAACAAAATTTAAAAGACCATAAATTAAAAAAAAAAAAAAAAATTAGTGGGCCATTACAGTTTATTTAGAGGTGACACTCAAAATATGAACACCTGTTGCTCTCCTCTATTTATAACTCTGCTAACACCAGCCCACCAGTATGATAGTTGACATGCGACCTGAAGTGAAGTAATTTTAAGAATGAAGGACTATCCTAGTAAATATTGAAGGGAAACCTTATTATCCATTTTTTTAGTTGATTTACAATAACAATGGTAACAAAGAAAAAGTGAAAAAAGATTATGAATTACTAACTATACAAATGTGAGGGAGAATGAGGCTGGTGACCAGTATAATAATATAAGATTAATTTTCATTTGACATTAGAATTAAGAGAACTTTGGCAGATATAATATGATTAGTAAGACCATATCAAAAATAAAATTTAAAAAAACAGCCATATGAAATAAATTCTCTGCTATTCAAGATGATCCTTGATAAATAATGTTTCAGTCAAAGTACAATATAGATCCAAATGTGCTAGGGCTGAAAGAAGTCAGTGAAGATCAGTTGAATGCCAGTCATAACCAAATAAATAGATAACCAAAGTCATAACTATAAAACATTTTATAGTTTGAGTAAAAAACCTTTATATAAATACCTGTGGTGTAACTTTCTGTGTCAGCTCAGGCAGTGATGATGCCATGACTATAGTTGTATCACCAATAACTTCTTTATTTTCCTGGTCATCGGTTGAAGTTCCTACATCACTATGAGTCCCATTTGGAGTTTGAGCAAGAGTAGCACTATACTGAATTTGGTTTGCAATTAAAGCAGAATCCTGGCAAAAAATACAATCACTATAATTTAACATGGATAAATTATTATTATGTTTTAATTATAAACACATAATATTAATATAATTTAAATACTATATAGTTTAATAACTAATATATTATTATTAATTATAAAAATAAATAATTGTAAGAAAATTTGGCAGTAACTTTTATATATATATATATATATATATTTTCTTTCTTTCTTTCTTCAAATTTTCTTACAATTATATATATATATATATATATATATATATATATATATATATTAAAATAGGCAGAACTATATGATACCCTTGATATCATTGGTAGAAACTTCTAGGTTCTGAAACATTCTAGAATGAATCTTTATTTATTTATTGCCCCTTCCCTTCCTTGTCCTTCAATAATATGGGATTCAATTTTATTGTATACAACAATAAAATTTAGGTATTTTTCTATACTATTCCTCTTTGATTTCCACCCTGGAATCACCTTCGATTGAGATTGTGGAAGTACCTGTCTTACTCCCATATTAAAATGGACGGCGCCTATTAGCTCCTTCCACCCATAAAAGAATGAATCATGGTATGGATAGTAACCTCCAGCGACAATTAGATGTAAATCTCTTTCGTTGATACTATAGATACCTGTGCTCCTCATTAGCTTGGCCCTCAGTGCCTCTAAAGCAATTCAGTTGATGATCACATGCTCAGCAGTTTATGGGACACCAGAACTGGAGCATAGGGGCTCAAAATCTTCTTCAAGACTGTGTAAATTGGCACAAAAACCCCTATGTCCAAAGAGAGATTGAAAGACCCAATAGTTTGATTTGATCCATACCATCTTTCTGCTAATCGGGACTGAACGTTAGGGAAATACTTCCTTAGGGTAGCCCTCCCCCTTAGTGGTAGTGACTCAACGCCTGTTCCATTCTTCGGCGGTAGCTTCTCTCAATGTTGATTTTCATCTATGAGGGGTGGCCTGAAAAGTTTCCACCTTAACAAAAGTACAAGAAATTTTTTTAAAATTTTTCAACATAGTCTCCTTGTAACTCTACACACTTCTCCTAGTGATGCTCCCATCTCTGTAATCCATCCAAAAAGTACTCGGCGGGTTTCTCTGCAAAATTGTGCATGAAGGTGATTGCCTCTTCATTTGATGAACAAACCGAAGTCGCTTGGGGCTAGATCTGGTTAGAAAGGTGGATAGTCAAGCAGTTCAAACCGTAATTCGTGGATTTTCACCATGGGAACTGCAGAGGTGTGAGACAGTGCATTGTCTTGGTGAAACAGGATTTTCTTTTTCTGCAAAAGTGGCTGTTTTTCTGCAAGTTCTGCCTTCAGCTTGTCAAGTAATGATGCGTAGTATGCTCCTGTAATGGGTTTTTCTTTTTTCTGTTCTCTCTTTGCAGTACACTATTTGGACTGTATTTTTGTTTCAGGTGTATAATGGTGTACACAAATTTCATCTACAGTCGGATTTATTGTGACTAAACTGCCCCAAAATTTTTGGTCGAACGTGACCAAACACGGCACCCATTGTTCGGACAGCTTTCTCATACCTAATTGTTGATTCAATACGTAACAAACACGTTCTTTTGACATGTTAATGACCTCTGCTATCTCTCTCACTTTAATTCGGCGGTTGCCTAGCACCATTTGGTGAACTTTGGAAATGATTTCGTTGGTAGTTACAGTTTTTGGACATCCCGAACATTCATCGTTGCCATGTTTAAATTCAGCTGCCCATAATTTCACTGTGGTAAATGATGGTGCAAAGTCCCCATACACAGAATCCAACTCATCTTTGATTTGTTTAGGTGTATTGCCTTTCAAAAACAAATATTTAATGACAGCTCGATACTCGATTTTGTCCATTTTCACAACAGCAACTCACTCAAATGACTGTTACATAAAAACTGCGCGTCCAAAATGGCTGAAACTTTGGTAGGTAACTATCAACAGATGAACAATTCACTAGCTTTTATTTACGAGTGCTCCCATTTTCATGTTGAGGTTGGAAACTTTTCAGACCACCCTTGTATTAGGCTGTTCCCCAATCCTCATTTTAAGGTGCTCCAGAATCCCTGCTGAACGTTCTCTCTAGTAGGTATATTTGATCACATCTTCTTGCAGTAGGAGATCAAGAAGTATCTCACCTGCTAAGATCTGCATTGCCTCGTGAAACACTGTCTTACATGCTCTGGTGACCTGCAGCAGAACCATTCTCTGACTAGATGCTAACTTGCTCTTCTTTCAGTTGGTGAAGTTCTGATACCATGAGGGGAATGTATACCTTAATGTACCGAGCACCACTCCTTAGAAAATAGCCTTGGCAGCTGGGTATCTAAAATCCCAGAAAGCTCAACTAACACGACTGAGACCATTTAGGGCGACTGTCATTCTGTTTGCCAAGAAGTCCAATAGAGGCGTTTATTAAACTTTCTTCCAAATCTTACCCCAAGGTTACCACCCCACTTGGACTAATCGTTTCTCCCTGGATTTCCAAGAAGATAGGATATTCCCTCTCATTCGTGCCCCTTCATGATTGCTTGGGTTTTAGCAGCAGCCATCCTCATTCTCCTGATCGCACACCATATATCCATCAACTTAGCACATCTTTCTGCCTCCAGTATGAACCCTGCTCTCCTATCGGATGCCACCACAGCAGCTGTCGTCAATATACACTATTGCTGGGAACCGCTGTTCTTCTAACACCTAACACCCCTAGAAGCTCGTGGAAAACAGAGCAGGACCCAGAATCCCTGTGGGCATTGCCTCAGGATGGTTCTCTTAATCTCGTAAAAACAACCACTAATCCTTACATGTCTATCCTATAGGTAGCTTCTCAGAGAGTGGGCGGGGTGGCCGAATGGGCTAAAGCGTATGCATTGCACGGCCGTTGCCCAGCAACCTGATATATGACTGAAATGATCTAAAAATCGTCACGAGTTCGCGTCCCGGTGCCGGGGAGTCATAAATCCCCGCCCACAACCACTGGCACGAGAAAAACCCGTATAGCATTGACGGCGAGGAATGGGAGGACCCCCCTCCCCCCCAAAAAAAGGTAGCTTCTCAGAAGAGCATTTATTTCTAGAGTGAACCTCTATTTCAATTCCATCTTTCGATGCAGTCAAATGTTGCAAGGAACCGACAATGTTGTCTGTGCTCACATGTCATGTGAGTAGATGCTAACGGTTGGCCTGGCCATCCCACAAATTTGAGTGGCCACTAAATTGTTAAAATACTCAGTTTTAATATAAGTCAATTATATCTCTCGAATAGGAAATCACCATATCTTCTCAATATTCTTCGTTGTTGATAGGTGGACAAGAGTCCTATATTGTATATACCAGACCCTAAACAAGAATAATTCAGTAGAATAGACACCCATACTGATGAAATATTTAAAATTACAGATATCTTCATTACAGATTTCCATCCATCAGGAGATAACCTATTTCAAGCAGAATAAGTGACCAACATTAAAGCTGTTGGTACTCAATGGATGCAGAATTTGATTCTCTAAAACTTATATTCTATGAGTTTTCTAAGAGGAAAAACTAAATTATTATAATAAAACTCATTAAAAAAAAAAAAGGAAGATGCTTCAAGGAATATTTTTACCTTCACACAAATTTCAAAAGCCGAATGCCATAAGACCATAGTAGACATATTGAATATTATAGGTCACTGGTCAGGCAAGGCTCAAACATAGCAATGACTGGGTTCCCTGTTAGGTGGATATGACCACATACCAGTGGTTCATTGCTCTTTCGGTGCCTTATCATGCGCCTCCCCCCACTTGGCACGCATCCTCACTCAGAGAGAAATCTTAAGTGTATACGTAGCTTAAGTAAGAGTTTAGATCCTTTAATCATATATTCTTATATTGTAAATATTTCTGTTGAATGACAGTGAAAATCTTTTTAATTCATGGACTTTTAAATACTGGTTAACCAAAAATTGGTACAGAGAACTAGTACAAATAATTTAACAAAATAACTTGTTTCAAGACTTTAGAGGCAGAGTTTTTGACTAACTTATAAGAACTAGAATTGTTGCAAGAAACATATTGATGACATTTCACATAACACGATTAATATTTAAAATTTGCTTAAGTATGCCAAAAACTGAGAGTTTTGCTAGTTCAGGGACATTTTCTTAATTTTTTTTGTTTATTATTTTTTTAAATATATAATAATGTCTCAAAGAATACTAGGCCTTTTTTAATGAAATTTAAACACTTCCCATGTAATAAGGCATTGAAGGAAATGGCTTATCAAACCTAATAGGTAGATAAAACATTTTTTTTTTAATTATGCACAATCAATAATATCCTATTTCTAATAAAAAAAAAAGTTTCCTTTATTTCTAGTAGAAAAAAGCTTCCTTTATTTCTAATAAAAAAAAAATCCTTTAACTTAAGACTAAATCATTTTTAATCATTACCTCAGTTGGCAAAATGCTGGCCTTTTGACGTGCTAACCTCTGTCGGTATTGAAGCCTTCTTCTCGCCAATCTTCTCTGTCTAATAGACAATGTCCTACGATGGGGTAGAGGTGTGACCTCGGCTCCTTCTTTCCCTTCAGGAACTTCACACAAGCCTTTTATTTTGAGCTGATCGGCTGTTTTCAAAACAGACTGCAACATAATTTAAAATATCATGATTAAAATGTACCATACGAATCAAAACCAAAAATAGCTGAGATAAAATTAAAGTAATATTTTCATGATTAAATTCAGCTAACTACTGATTAAATTATACAGTAAGTGCCCATAAGGAGAGTAAGTTTTTAATGGCGAGAAGTAGGATAGACTAATCAAAAGTCATCAATCGGATGCATTTTTATAACATAAAAACCTTAATCGGTGACCTGGCAACATATACCAAATATACAAAGTTTTCAGAAAGGATGAAAAAATTATTTCAGTACTTTAGAAACATTTTTTCATCTTTCTTCTTATGTTCATTGCATTACAAAGCATACCGTTTGTTACACAAACAAGAACCATCCAAAGATCTACCATAGTTCTCTGCACAGGAGTAGAATGGTTAAATGGTCAGCCTCTGTAGAGAGGAAGTGAAGGTGTGGGTAAGATCCACTCCCAGATTTTTCATTATTTCTTTATTATAGTTTTCAGTATCAGAATAAAACAAAGAAAAATAAAAAGTATAGATAAATAAAAATAATAGTATAGATGTAAAATAAACTTTTGGAAAGTCACAGATTTTAGAAAAATAATAGCTAAATTATATAGTCATAGGTAGGGTAAGAGAGTGATGATAAGCTGATATATTTGACAGATTAGACATATAGGAAAAATAAATAGTAATTGATTATTTAAAATGATTATATTAGAATATCTAGAATTTTTATTTCCACTTATTATAGTGGAGACTTAGTTATGTGTACTGTTCGAGTCCTTTATTCCTCATAAGTTGCTAATTTAGTAGGCTTTGTTGGGATTGATTTTTTTGTGTTTCTAATAACCTTGATATAAAATGAAAAAAAGGAGGTTTACTTGTTTTTTAAACACAAACAAACACTAACTCTCAGTAAACATTGAAAACCAATAACATAGAAAATAATAAAAAATAATTGCAAATTATTCAAAGAACAGAAACTATGCGAATATCTGATGTTGAGTTTTGAAACAATACTAGCTCATGTGGTGCTTTCCACAAGCTCCTATGATTGTGAGAACTAAACTTATTTAAGCAAAACTTTAATGCGGTTTGGACAAAATTATTATTACATCACGATTCATAGCTCCAAATAATTTCTGAACTTCAGTTTAATATTATGTTGACTTTAAGAATTCTTTTTTTATTCCCCCTTATCTTTTATTAGTTTTAATGCATTTTTGACTCATTCATGTTAATATAAGCTATGTCTTTTGTGTTTAGTTTTTTTTAAAATTTACTTTTATTGTTTTTTCCAACCCCCAAAGAATAGAAAAATGAATGAAAATGAACAATTAATTCTTAATCAAAACTGAATGTTTTGAAACAAAAAACATATCTAAAACAAAAATGAAAAGAAATATATAAAGATTATAAATTTGTCTTTTGACATGAATTTGTCGCTCGATTAACTGGATACAATCATTTAATTTTTTCAAAACATTGCATCGATATAAAAATTTCTCTACTCTACATACAAGTAAGTACTAAGCCAAAAAAGAAAAGACGTGAGTGAGTAGACAACCTGGTATAAAGGAAAGATAAAGACAGCTAGTGCCAAGACTAGAACCATCTTCTTCAGGAAAGGAAGGGGTCAGCTTAACATGGGCATAATCAGTCAAGGGATCTGTCCAAAGAGGTAATGACCCATCTTCGCTTAGGGTGAGGTAAATTCCTGGATTAACACCTCACTTGGATAAAGTGGATGAACTAAGAAATAGCGGGTGGGATGGCCGAGCGGGCTGATGCGTGTGCACAGCATCATGCATTGTTTGGTAAACCTGATAACCGAAGTTGTAGATGTTAAAATAATTAAAAGTTTGCATCCCAGTGGCGGAGGGTCTTTTTTTTAACTCTGACATTTATCTCCTGCCCTTACCGACTGAAGCAGGCAAACTCCGTATAACGTAAAAGAAAGGGAATAAAAATTAAAAAAGACCTAAGATAACTACACTCACTAAAAATTCATAGGGGGCATGCTAAGATATAGATCCTCACCTGGTACCAGACCTTAAAAGAATTTATGAAGAGATTAAGAAGAAACATTAATAGTTTTATCACAAAGACAATAAATATGTTAAAATTCGAAGTTATTACCTGCAGCTGTGCTTGAGAAACATCTATTTCCCCTTTGTAGACGAATTCAATAATAAATTTAAGATCAGTAAAACATACGTCTTGGGGCATAATTATAGTTGGATGCTTGCATGGATTTTCTAATAAAAGCTTTTGAAAATATGAAGAACAAGCTGATAGCACCACCTGATGAAAACAAAGACAAGTTATTGAAATTTATAAACTAAATAATTAGTGATACAATAAAGTATAATGTCTTACAACCTTATAAAATAGATAACTGAAAATAAAATCATTGAAAAAGAGTTGGTTGGGGATCGCTGCCATTGAAAGTACACAAAAATAAATTATATTTATTTTCGTTATCTCAATGTTTGGTCTAAGTTTCAAGCCTTTATTAATACTGCTCATTCAAAGGGACTTGTATAAATTCTTTATGAATAAGAAGCTCTGATGAAGACCTGAACCTTAGGCTGAAACGTTGGTAAGAAGAAAATAAATATAATTTATTTTTATGTACTTCCAATGACTGAAATCCACAACCAACTTCTCTTAGACAATATCTTCCAACAGTCAACAATTATACACTATCATTAAAAATAACATAAATTATGAACTGTCAATGAAAAAATAATGTAGAAATATATTTGGATTTGGCCCCACAATTGTTCAACTTATATATTTAATAAAATACAAATAAATTATACTGAGATTTTTCAATGAAATAATTTTAAAAACGCAATATAGAACATTCTACTATTTTGGAGTCTGTTTAAAATTTTTATTCATTTATTTGTAAAAGTTTTACAAATATCATTTGGATTATTTTGAACACACATTCTTCCTCTTTGGTAAACTTCTTCTCCAAGAAAAACTTGGGTGCTTCAATGAGGAAACCTCCCAGTGAAATTACTCCTCAGGTTACAGACTCAAATAGAACTTCTAGAATAGAAGATTCTTTCTCCAGAGAGGTTTCAGACCTATATTAGATTCTACGGTAGTGTTTTGTCAATAATGTTCAGAGGTGACCAATAGGTGGTTTCATGGTGCAAGTTGTTATCAAAATTTTTGAAGGGGGTATATTTTGATGGGTTTTTTAATTATTGGAGGAGGCACATTTTTCCAGAGTTATGAATTTTCGGAATGAAAAGTTTCATACTAAGAGACAAGGAAAAAACATAGAACAGACAATTTGACAGGAAGATTTGAATGATCTATAAGTGCAATTTTTTCAGATGAGTCCACAGGCAGATCTACGGGGGAAGGAAGATTTTGGCCTCTCTCCCAAAATGGTGAAATGTAACCCTGTTTTATAAAAAGAAATATTAAAAAATTATCTCTTAAAGTACTATTGTTCATGTAATTACTTTTAATAGGACTTCAACAATCACTTAAACACCATTTCATATTGGAAGTAAGTATATTTCTTTTTAATCCAAAGTAATTATCGTTATATATGTGAAAAAAAAAGCTTTTGGGCTGAAGGCTTCTCCCAAAAAAATTAAATACTGGATCGGATAGTGGATGAGTCACACATCTGAGTGCACTAACTGATCCAGGATTTAATTTTGGAGGGCTTCAGCCCGAAAGATTTTTTTTTTTTGTATGTATAGATTAGGATAATTATTTCGGAAGAAATAAATACCTAATTACTAATTATTAATTAGAAATACCTATATTAAACTGTGTTTAAATAATTCTTGAAGCCATATTAAATGTTATCAGATGTAATAAATCTCGTCAATAGCTATTAAACAAAAAAATAATGAAGAAAATCGGTTGAATTTATTTATTTATTTATATAACGATAATATATAGTATGGAAAAATATTGCGATCGTGAACATTTTCGAATCTGAGTTTCCAACTTAATACAAGTTTGGTGGTCCCCTGAGTCCAAATAACTAAGTCCCACAAAATGTTCACTGTGTATTAGCAGTCTATCTCAAAAACGGAAAGTCTTAAGAAAGTGAAATTACATATTTAAGGTTTTTACATGCCTGAGATGTTACAGCAACGTTTTCGTCAAAATCGGCTAGTCGGAAGTGGCACTTCATAGCATCGATGTAACACATTTTTACGGTTTTCTCGAAAACAGTTCTAACACGATTTTAATTAAACTCGGTACATCAGTGAATTATTAAATTCTGATTAAAATCAGCTAGGTCTTATCCACACTGATGTCACTTTACAGAGCTTAAATGCCCAATGTTCATATACTTCACTTCTTCCTCTTAAGTACTATTAATTTAGTTTATTTTTAAAAATATTACTCTCTTTTATCGACAGTAACAATTGAAAATGGCTAAATATAAAGTATGAAATAATTTGATAATTGGAAAATGGAGAAAAAAAGGAAAATGTTTATATAGGTCGAAAATGAATCTCCGGAAATACTATTCAGAAGATATACGTATAATATATCGTTGGAAAGCGGAGAACTTTAGAAAAAAACAATATCTCGAATAGAAAGTCGTAGAAGGGAATGGAGAGCGACCAACAATTATAAATAACAAGTAGGCCCGTGCGAAAATTCGCACAGTATATTGTTCAGTGATCAAATAATAAATTAATAAGAAAATAGAACAATGCAACATATTATATAAGAAATCAATTGTACTTTCTCGCTAAATAAAATCGACAAAAGAAACAAAAATTAATTTGAAACAAAAATGTTTGGAACCAACACGTTTACAAATTTCAATAAGCTGAATCTTTGATAAAAATAAGTCCGATTTCGATATTTTTTTCCTTTTGTAGGGACTTTAGTAATCTTTTATATATTCATGGACATAACGCAGAGAAAAGTGTGTAACTTTCGAGTTATTCGAAAAGAAAGTATCTTTTCTTTAAAGTTTTTTGCCTGAATTTTCGGGATGATTGGACTATTTTGCCAGAAGGAGAAGGAGAAATCTTCAAAATTGGTGGCTCAATCTTGGTATTTGGTGAAGAATGAACGATGATGTGACTTACCGACAAAAAAAAACCTTCGATAAATAATATAAACTCCTCCTCTCTCGATTATAGGAGCCTTAAGTTGACGAAATGAGTATATGTTAATTCAATGACAGTACTACAATTAACGTAAGGTTGTATGGATGCGAACCCTTTGCCTTGCATTATCTCTAAAATAGTACGTTTTAGAGCTTAAGAACGCAGGAGGGGGGGGGGGGGCTTAAGAATCCGGGTCTAGCCGTACGCATCAAAATCTTCAAAGCCCAATGAGTCCTGTATCGATCTAAAGACTTACCACCATTCCAGTATTGAAGCCTCGCAAAATGTTTGTATAGACTTTATTTATTTTAGAAAGAAAAAGAAAAGCGGAAAGTACGATTCGCTAAGCCCTCGTGAAATTCTGAATCCAACGGTACCCCATTCGTGGTATTTGAGCATGACAGAAGGTTATATTTGGAACATAACCGAATTCGTGCCTCACTATAATAATATATGTGGGAATAATTTGTGAAAACTAATATTATTTAACGGAAATCACATGTTTCAAAAGAAATTAAACGAAACTAACTAAATGTGAAATTTTATAATTTTTTTTAGTTTGAAAAGTATTTAAAATCCACCAAATCAAGCCAATGACATTGTTAAAACAATTATTTCATTGTACTTAAGTGAAAGAAGAAGTTAAATTTAAAAATATTTCATCGTTCGAGTAAAATGTATGCTTATAATCTTAAATACATTTACTGTAGTTTAATAACTCTAGATCCGATATTATATTTATATAATTAGGTATACATCGTCGATTACTAAAAAAAAAATTATTTGGTGAAATCACATTATACACTTACAATTAGTGTGACGACGTTTAACCTATAGGCTACAATCGTATTACACGGTGGGCCAGACCCCCTTACCGTGCACCCCCCCCCCTCTCCCCACCACATCCCTATAAATTGCATATCGTTGTGTTCCTTGTGCCAATTTATTAAAAAAAAGCCAATGTTCCCACAAAACAAAGTGAACGAACTGCCCCAAAATGGCGTCCAAACATGGCGGATTGACGACTTTGACTTTAGTTAGTTTTTTTGTTACTGAGAATCAGCATTTGGCTTAATTTCATTATAGTTGGTCTTTTATTAAAGCTGGATAGTCAGAGAATAATAAAACATGAAAAAATATTAAAAACTAATTGGCTTATATTAAAAAAATCGGTAAAGTCAATTTTTTTTACAAAAAAATTTTCAAGTTGAAAATCAAGCGTCGTTTTGTAATTAAACGGTCAACAATAATGCAAAACGTGCTGAAATAAAACATCTGGAGAATACATTTCTCTTTCTAAAACACTGATTACTTTTTAAAATATTTGAAGTAGTTTCGTATAAAATGTACTTAAGCGGCAGAAAAGCGCTACTGGCGTGGGTGCCTACAGGCCTCTACCACACCACTCAGTACTCATAAATGGCTTAGTTATAGTGCTATAATAACGTTTTTGTTATATTTTATTGATTATATTAACGAACAAATATTAATACAATAATTTAATTGTAAAAAATTAATTTTTTTTTAATTTATTATTTTTGTTTTTATTTTTCATTATTATTTTTTTTTAATTTAACTTCATTTATTCTATACGGAGATCGCTTAAGAAGGCCTCTATTATAAAAATTATAAAATTATAATAATAAAACTTAATTCAAAAATATTTTGCAGAATATCTTGATTTTTTTATTTAATATTTGCAATTTAACATTTTGTTTTATATATTTACTGATTCTTAGAGGTAATTTAAATTGTATATCCTTCCCCGGAAATGAGTCATATTAATATCTGTTTTATAAACTAAAATAATATATACCTAATCTGAACTGCTTTTAATGAATAGGTGATGGATTGTTTAGTAAAATTGTTATATCGCTATTAAAAAAAACATTTGTATTTCCTTTATTTTATTCGAAAGCTGGACCATATCATAAAAAATAGAAACTTTTAATATTAAAGTGCATTATTCCCTCTGCACAAAAGAAATATGGAAAGAGCGAAGCTATAAGTTCTTCTAGGTAACTGGAACTGATTGTTAGTATTTGGTCTCAAAATGAGGGAAAACGCGAAATTGAACCCAAAAATTGGAAAAATAAATTAAGCGAACGACAAAGGAAGTGCAAAAATTTCGGAAAAGAAAACAAGGATCACTATCCATTATATGGCTAAACGAATATATAGTAGACAGATGAA